CAACCCAGAGGGTAAAAGAATACCTCCTGTGGACAATGCCTCCTGTGTTTCCTCCTGGGCGTATTGAGATCTTATCTCTGGGGGAGGGCCTGTCCATATTAAAGGGGCTAAGGTTGTCATCTATAAACTTCCCTTAGCAACCTCTTTGGCTTGTTGATCTCCTAGCCTGTTTCCTTCTGCTATTTCATCTAACCCTTTATAATGTCCTTGACAGTGATTTACTGCTACCTCTTTGGGTAAATGAACAGCTTATAGCAGTTTTAAGATCTGCTCATAGTTTTTTAATGAATGTTCCCCCAGTTGTTTGAAATTCTCTTTCCTTCCAAATTGCCGCATGTGCATGCAGGATTAGGTAGGCATATTTAGAGTCAGTGTAAATATTAATTCTTTGTTGCTTCCCTAAATCGAGTGCTCTAGTTAGGGATATATATGCCTGAGGTCAAAGATTGTGCCTCTATGATGTCATGTAAAGTCACCACAGCATATCTAGCTTTGTGTTCTCTTTGTTCCATAAAGAAACTCCCATCTGTGAACATGATGAGGTCTAGATTGGACAGGGGAAGGATTGAAAATTCCTTCTGGGCTGAGTAATTTATAGCTAGGACCTATTGGCAGTCATGTTCAGGATTTCCCTTTAAAGTCTCTGGGATGAAGGTGGCTGGGTTTAAATTGGAGCAAGTCCTTACTTGAGTTATGGGTCCATCTAGAATAAGGTTTGACATTTTAGAAGGCACCTGTCTAGGGGCTGGGGATGTGGCTCAAGTGGTAGCGCGCCTGAGGCACAGGGTTCGATTCTCACCACATAAAAATAAAATAAAGATATTGTGTCCACCTAAAACTAAAAAGTAAATATTGAAAAAAAAAGAAGGCACCTGAGATCCATACTCTTCCTTTTGTATTTAGAATCCCTGAGAGATCCTGGGAGGTGCAGACAATAGGTCTCTTCCCAGGATGGTTTTGGCTGCCTCTGCGGCTATCACTCTCAAACAGTGAGGCCATTCTCCAGGCAGGAGATCAAGCTCCTTACTGAGATAAGCTACTGGCTGTTGAGCAGGCTCATTCTTTTGTGTGACCACTCCCAAGGCTATTCCTCCTCTCTCAGTGACAAACAGGTCGCATTTTTTGTTCAGTAGGTAAACTGAGGGCAGGGGCTTGGAGTAAGGCCCCTTTTAATGCCCTAAAGGCTTTGATCTGTTCTGGTTCCCATATCAGGGAAGTTGTTCCTTGGGTAGTGCTTCTTTGAGGAGGCTATAGAGAGGCTTAGCTAATTCCCCATATCCAGGAATTCAACACCCGAGTGTCCAGTTACCCCCAGGAAGCCTCTGAGTTGCCTCATGGTCTGAGGTAGAGGACATTGTCCTACAGGATTATTCTTTCCTGTCCTAGTTTGTAGGTTCCTTGAGACAGCTGTAATTCTAAATATTGAACTTCTTTTGGGCACAATTGATAAGGGGTATAAAGTCTTCTTTGAGACTTTATATCTCTTATCAGCTAAGGAGTTTAGAAGTTCTCTAGTGGCCTCTTGACATTCTTTTTGAGTGGAGGCACAAAAAAGTATGTGGCCTACACACTGGAGGACAGTCATCTGGGAAGAAAATCAAATGCTGCTCTTTCCCTCTCCTGCTCCAACTGGTTGCTGAGGTGACCTACCCCAGGAACCCTTCCTTCCTGCAGGGAGTCATGAGAGTTGTTAATTGAAACCTTACTGCTTGGATCACTCCACCACTTGGCTCTTTCTCTTTACCTATTTGCTTCCCACCTTTTGGCTCACCCTGACCACTGGTCATGGATGCAGGATGGGGAGAGATAAGGGGCAAGGAGAGCATGAGAACTAATAAAATGTAGAAATTTTTTAAAGGGGCAGGACACTCTCACTTCTTTGGATATCAACTCTGTGTCCCCTTCTCTGTAGAGAAGTCTATACAACAATTCAACTTGCTTTTTACTCTTGCCTCAATGTTTCTCCATTGTTGAAACTTCAACACCTGGAAAAATGGAACTCTTGTCACCAGTAATAGGTGGTATCAGCATCAGGGCAGTGGCTTACTCACTAACTCTGGTGTATAGTCTTCAGAGCATAGTCTCTGTGGAGGGGACGCTGTGACCACTGTCTTGGGCACCTGCAGCCAACTGTACTGCTTCAGCCCACTTCAGCACAATGTTCTTTTGTAGATGGACACAACACCTTTATTTATTTTTATATGGTAGTGAGGATGGAACCCAGTGCCCCACATGCGCCAGGCAAGCACTCTACCACTGAGCTATAAACCCAGCCCTGGCATAATGTTCTTATAATACAACGGTGACCCTTCTGCCATTGAAGACTGCAGGCCGTGTCCCCTCCCCTTGAGTTTATCCCATATGATGGTCTTGTCCAAGGGGCCCTGCAGGAGTGACTTCTGAGGCAAGGACGTAAAACACCATGCACATCCCCCTGGAAGCTTACTCTTAGAGCTCAGCTGCCATGTTTCCAGGAAGCCCAGGACACAAGGAGAAGCCATGTTCACATGCTGCCTAAAAGCCCAGAGAGTGTTGGCCCACAGCCCACGTCAACCACCAAAGACATGAGGGAGGGAGTCTTCAAGATGGCTCCTGTCCCAGCAGCATCTGGTGACAACTGCAGGAAAGAAAGTGCAAACTGTCTAGCCAAAGCTAGGGAATCTTGAGAATTTCTGCAGATAGTAATAAAATGATTTTCATTATTTTAAGCCACTAAGATTAAGTAGCAAGAAATACTACAAATATACAACTCCTTTCTGGAAAGGGGGATGGAATTTGTATTCTCAGTGGGAGAAATGAGGCCCATTTGACTGCAGCCTAGCTGCTGGATCTAAGGAGAGGTGTAGGCATGGCCACACTGGGAGCAGACCTGATGGTCTTTCTAGTGTTGCTGGACACTGGGATCTTTTGACCTGATGAAGGTGGAAATATTGAAATAAGAGTCTGGTGAATGAGTGTGCGTTTATTGGGGCTTTCGTTTAGGGAGACAGCTCTCACAAATAGATGTCAGCTGGCTCCCTAAACAAGTAGTTTTATTGACTACTTGCAATGGTGGAAATGTTAATTGACTTTAGATATATTCAAGAATTTTGGGGCTGGGGATGTGGCTCAAGCGGTAGCGTGCTCGCCTGGCATGCGTGCGGCCCGGGTTCGATCCTCAGCACCACATACAAACAGGGATGTTGTGTCCACCGAAAACTAAAAAATAAATATTAAAATTCTCTCTCTCTCTAAAAAAAAAAAAAAAAAAAGAATTTTGCCCTGTGCTAAAGATAGATAAGTTTCTGAAGCTGCTCAAGAGAACACATTCCAGGCAACCTGACCTCAATCCTGCAAAACTGATCTTCTTGAGGGTGGCACATTCCAAGCCTCTTGGGGTTTGAGTCAGGCCAGAAGTCAAAGCCCAGAAATGCATTTGTCCTTTGTCCCTATGATGGTCCCATCTCATTAGGACACCTCAGGGCCTCTTCCTCTGCAACCCATTCAGTTAATCTTTCCACTTTCAGATTTGGAGCAGGAGACTTGGCTTCTAAGCATTGAGGAGGGGCTGGATAATGCACCTCAGGATGGGGGAAGGGGTTCTTGCTGATGACATTGACCTCAAGGGAGGAGAGCCCCCCAGCTTTCCTTCTTTCCATTGGATGAGACTGTCAGGGGAGGCTGAAATCACCAGAACTAGAAATAAGAGTAATAACATGCTGTCAATCATGCTGTGTAGGTTGGAAAGTTTTATTCTAAAAAGTGTAATTTACTCTTTGGGGCAAAGGAAGGATGAAGGAACTTACTCTCATACTTAGAGCCTGCACTCAGAAATTCTGCTCCTGGGACTCCATCTCTGAAATATAAGCCAATTGTCTACCATTGAGCAGTAGTGGAAATACCACCCCACTTTTGGGTATCAAGCAGCCAACAAAAAATTATTAACTCTGAAAGATTACTTGGGAGGAATTTCATAAGGCTGTATATGTGTGTGTGTGTGTGTGTGTGTGTAACAGGAGAGTTTAGGCACTAAGCCACAATCCCAACCTCCTTCCCCCTTTTAAAATTTATTTTGAGACAGGGTCTTACTGAGTTGCTGAGGTTGGCTTTGAATTTGTGATCCGCCTGCCTCAGCCTCCAGAACTGCTGGGATTATAGGCATGTGCTACCTTGCCCAGCATTTTTTTTTTCCGGTGAAAAATGTAAGTGCATGGCCCACAAATGATGCAGGCAGGAGACGGGAAGCAAACCTCAGATCAGCACGCTTTCCAGTCTGCAGCGAAGTCAATCCATCAGCACAGGAGGGATTCATTTTCTGGGTATAGGAATGACCCCCAGGTAAGAGAAGGAGTCTAGGCTTTAGAGTTTATGGTGAGGGTGAATTAATCACTGGACACTGCGAGCATGCTGTCTGTACACTTGGGGACCTCGTGGTTCAGGTTAAGATTTTAACTCAGGAAAGCAGTTGTGAAAAGTCTGAAACTCACTGTCACTGGGAAAAGCTCAGAGCTGTGTTCACTTCTTATCTTCCTTCCTCTGGGACCCACCACTACCTAAAGGGTCACTGTTCCTTCTCTCCTTCAGGACTCATCCGCAATGGGAAAGGGTCAAAGTCCAGGGCCCAGCATTTCAGTATTTGCCTCCTGCCTTCAGGACCCACTGGGCCTGGGAAGGGGTAAATGATTTTGGTGGAGATGCTGGGGATGAGCCTGGGAAAGGACCAAAGTTTGCTCAGGGCCCATTATTACTGGGAAAGGATGTATTGGGAGAGGTTTAATATTTGGCTGAAATGTGTGTGTGTGTGTGTGTGTATCAGGATTTGAACTTTCCCCTTCCTCCTCTGAGTCACACTGTCCCTCCTTTTTTTTGAGGGGGGAGCACTATCTTGTAGGAATATTATTTTCCATAACCCTTCAAACACCACAAAATAATTGCCTATGAAATGGTATTTAAAAAACTAATCAGAGTTCCCAAAGCCGATGTCTAAGTTGTGTTTGTCCAGGATTTGTTCGAAGTCAGGCTATGGAGGAAACCACAGAAAGGACAGTTTATTGTGTTAAGGTGGACGACAGAAGAACCAAGTGAAAAGGGAAAATCAGACTGCTTTACAGAAAATCTGATCACACATGTGTGTGACAAAAAGCGTGTCTAGCTCGCTGTGGAGCCTACATCCTAGTCCTGCTACCCACGACGCTGGGGCAGGATCACAAATTCCAGGCCAGCCTTAGCAACTCTGTAAGACCTGCCTCGGGCTGGGGTGCGGCTCACGGGACAGCACTTGCTAGCACGCCTGGATCCCGACGAGGTTAGGGTGGGGAAATGGGAATCTAGCTCAGGTGGAGCCTCCCCAGGTTCAACCCCTGGGGAAAAAAAAAATGAATAAAACAGTAAGAGAACGGAAAAATGTCCCAGCTGGAATGAACGCCTGCACTGCGGCCCCGCAAACACCCGACACACAAAAGCACCGCCCCGGCCCACGGGCGAACCAGGAAGTCGGCTCCAGAGGCCAGCCGGCCAAGGGCAGAGCCGGGGCGCACCGGAGCGCACCGGAGAGCTCCGCCCTCCCCCGGTCGGAGAGGGGAAAGCAGGGTCGCGGGAGCCTTCGTTGCCTAGGCCGAAAGGAAGCCAAAACTTCCGGAAGTCGTAGTCCCTAGGCCCGGAAGGAGGCCGGACAGCCGGGAGTCCTAGTCCCCAGGCCCGGAAGAAGACCGGGCCCGGAAGGAGTCCGTAGTCCCCGGGCCCGGAAGGGGGCCGGACCGCCGGAAACTGGGTCTGCCAAGCCTGGGGCTCAGGGTGCAGTGTTCTCCACGAGACCGAGAGCTGGGCCGGCGACATGGCGGGGCTGGAGCTCCTGTCTGACCAGGGTTACCGGGTGGACGGTCGTCGTGCCGGGGAGCTGCGCAAGATCCAGGCGCGCATGGGCGTGTTCGCGCAGGCCGACGGCTCGGCCTACATCGAGCAGGGCAACACCAAGGCGCTGGCAGTGGTCTACGGGCCGCACGAGGCGAGTGGGCCGCGCGGGATCGGCGGGGTCGCGGTCGCGCCTCCCGTTTACGCAACGAATGCTCGAAGCCGCATATCGGCTGAGTAAATGCCCAAGTTCTTAAGGTGCATCTCTGGGTATGTCCTGTCTCTCTCCTGCGCCCTGCTCTCCCTTGTCGGGTTCCTCATCGTGCCAGGCTCTCGCCCATTCGGTCACTTCCCCGCTGTTCTCCTCCGGCGTCATGTTTGGGATGCTGCCGCTCCAGGCCACAACACGCTCTGTTGCCTTTGTGTCTACCACCCGAACGTCAGCTCTACTTAATCTTACCCGTTTGTCTTTCCACGGGAACATAAACTCTCTGAGAGCAGCGACTTTAAATAAAACTCTCTGATTTTATTGCTACGTTCTACCCTATAACAGTGCCTCCCCAACGCAGAGATAATTTTTAATTGCTTAGCAAATTAATGTGGGAGCCCAGTTTTCTAGATGAAAGAAGCCAGGATGAAGGCAATGGGTAGAAACAAACATGGCACTTCTGCAAAGCCGAAAGAATGACGGTGGAGGGAGAGGAGATAATTCCAAATAACGGTTTCCAGGGAGGTGAGGACTAGGGCTTTGTAGACTGGGGAAAGGATTTGGGATTTTATTTCCCGTATAACAGAAGCCTTTGGTAGGTAAGTAGAATGTGAGTGTGTGGTGAGGCAGAATCGGCTTGATGTTTTTAAACATACTGTGGCCACCACTTAGAGGAGTTGGGAGGAAATGAAGTGAGGCATGCACGCCAGAGGTGATGATGGCCTAGACTGACAAATGGATCTCCCTTGGATGTTTTGGAGATAAGGTTGCTGCCACTCTCTTGAGAAGGAGGTTGAAAGGACTAGGGAGTGTGAGCTGGGAGAGTAGGCTTGACTTATGCATCCTTTCTCTTCTAGATCCGGGGTTCCAGGTCTCGAGCCCTGCCTGACCGGGCTCTGGTGAACTGTCAATATAGTTCAGCAACCTTCAGCACAGGTGAGCGCAAGCGGAGGCCACATGGAGACCGTAAGTCCTGTGAGATGGGCCTACAGCTGCGCCAGACTTTTGAGGCAGCCATTCTTACTCAGCTGCACCCACGATCCCAGATTGACATCTATGTGCAGGTGAGCTGGCTGCAGTTTTCAACCCACCGAGGGAAGGGAACTGGAGGGTGGGATGGCAGTTTAATGGACTGATAACAGCGTGGGGGGGTCCTTGCAGGTACTGCAGGCTGATGGTGGAACCTACGCAGCTTGTGTGAATGCCGCCACGCTGGCAGTGTTGGATGCTGGGATACCCATGCGGGACTTTGTGTGTGCATGTTCAGCTGGTTTTGTGGAAGGCACAGCCCTGGCAGACCTCAGCCATGTGGAGGAAGCAGCTGGTGGTCCCCAACTAGCCCTGGCCCTGCTGCCAGCCTCAGGCCAGATCGCACTGCTTGAAATGGATGCCCGGCTGCATGAGGACCACTTGGAGCAGGTGCTTGAGGCCGCTGCCCAAGCAGCTAGAGATGTGCACACCTTGTTGGACCATGTGGTACGGCAGCATGTGCGTGAGGCATCTATCTTGCTGGGGGACTGAACACCCAGCCACTTTTGTCCAGAATAAAGTCCTGCTCCTCTGCTCATCACTCTTTGCTGTATAGCACTTGCAAACAGTTTGACTCTGGGGAATGACGGGGGAGCCAACTCCACACATGAACTATATCTCTTGTGGCCTCAGGACTCAAACCTCCAGAAGCATAGGTGGTATAGGGGTATCTGGGTGGAGAAAGCAATCTGTTGGTGAGAGGTGAGAAAAATCAAGCCTCAGACCAAGGAGTTTGCCATCCTCAGTCCAGTCCCTCCAGAACCTGAGTACAAGGATTAAAAGAAACCTTGACTGGCTATAGGTAGGGCCAATGCCTCCCCCTAGGAGCACCTTGGGCCTTTTCCTACTGCTTACCTTGGGCTCTAAACTACAGGAGACTCCTCTGCTCACTTGATCTTTTCTCCTGAGTTTCGACATTTTCCCCAGCCTAAAATTGTACCCCCTTCAGCAAGCTCCCCTTCATCCACCGCCTGCGTTGGCCACCAACTCTCCTCCTATGCCAGGGACTTGCTGGCCTGGACAAAACAGTACGCTCCTTGCTAGCTACTCCATATACACAGGCCTGTCTTATTAGTAGATTTGCATCTTCCCTGTGGGTCTTCTATCTACCCATGAAGACCTTAGTTCAGAACCCATGTGACACCACTGTGATTTCATTTTCAGTGACTGACATCCATAAGAATGATTCTTAAACGCCTGAACCTCAGTCCACACTGTAGTCATTCACAGCCTCTGTGGCAGGCGTGGTGCTCTGAGCACCTCCACCTACCTTCCCTGACAATCGTCTCCGATTTCTGTGAGCCTTCCAACTGGAGCTTTATCACTGCTCCCGATACCCTGGTGTCGGCCTTGTCTCTGCTCCCTGCTGGTACTGCGCAGGGCCGGTCCAGCCCTTCCGGAGGCCGATCCCGGAGACCAGACTCCAGTCGCATAGGTTCCGGCTCCCTGCAACCCTAGGGCCTCCAGCAGCCGAGCTGGAGAAAGGTTCTGCTTTGCGCACGCGCAGCGGCGCGAATTTCAGTGGGACCGGAAGTGCGGCTGGGTTTAGGTTCGGGGTCTGACAGGAGCAACTCGCGCTCCGCGGCTGGAGCTGGCTGCGAGAGCAGGGTCCCGCGTCGCCCTCCCGCCATGGGCCTCCTGTCGGACCCCGTGCGCCGGCGCGCGCTCGCCCGTCTCGTGCTGCGCCTCAACGCGCCGCTCTGGTGAGGGTGGGCTGGGCTGGGGTCCCTGCGCTGCTCGCGCCCTTCTCCTTCGGTCCACGTCCCGCGGGGGATGCGGGGACCCGGAGTCTAGGTTTCCAGGCCCCTCACACCTGCCCGTTCGGCCCCTGGTTTGGAGCTGGTGGCCACAGTCGGCGTCCCAGATCACGCTAACGCTCCGGCTGCTCCCTCTGACCCCTCGCAGCGTGCTGAGCTACGTGGCGGGCATCGCCTGGTTCTTGGCTCTGGCCTTCCCGCCGTTGACCCAGCGTACTTACATGTCGGAGAACGCCATGGGATCCACCATGGTGGAGGAGCAGTTTGTGGGCGGAGACCGTGCCCGGGGCTTTGCCCGCGATTTCGCTGCCCACCGCAGGAAGTCGGGGTGAGCCGCAGAGCAGCGGGTAGGGGAAAAGTAGTGGTGGCCAAGGCCAGGGAGCTCCGTTCAGAGGCTGTCTTTGTGTCTCCAGGGCTCTACCAGTGGCCTGGCTGCAGCGGACGATGCGTACAGTAGGGCTGGAGGTCTACACGCAGAGTTTCTCTCGGAAACTGCCCTTCCCGGATGAGACCCACGAGCGCTATGTATTGAGGAAGGGTGGGGGTGAGGGTGCTTGGGATAGAAAAGCGCTGTGAAGGGGTCACCTGGGGCCAAGAATCCTAATGGGAGGGATGATCTGGGGCCAGGGAAATCCCTGCTTTGCAGATTGTAGGGCCAAGGAAAGGTGGTGGTGGAGGCTTTGACTTTCTACATACTAGGGTTGCTCTGAGGCTCCTTCACCAATGCATTGTACAGATGGTATCAGGCACCAACGTGTATGGCATCCTACGGGCCCCACGTGCTGCCAGCACCGAGTCTCTGGTGCTCACTGTACCCTGTAACTCTGACTCCACCAATAGCCAGGCTGTTGGACTGCTGCTGGCACTTGCTGCCCATTTCCGAGGTGAGACTCCAGGGCTGCTGCCCAGGGAGGGTTTGGCCAGTGCTTCAGTCCTGCTTACCTTATGTCTGACCTCCAGGGCAGATTTACTGGGCCAAAGATATCATCTTTCTGGTGACAGAACATGATCTTCTGGGCACTGAGGCTTGGCTTGAAGCCTACCACGACGTTAATGTAACTGGTAGGTGCTCTTGTCTTCTCCTGGTCTCTCTCGGGGTCAATTGTTCTCACCAGTGTCTCCTCTGGTGTTTATTTGCTTGCCCCTACAGGCATGCAGTCATCCCCATTGCAGGGCCGGGCTGGAGCCATTCAGGCAGCTGTGGCCCTGGAGTTGAGCAGTGATGTGGTTACCAGCCTTGATGTGACTGTGGAGGGTCTCAATGGACAGCTGCCCAACCTTGACCTGCTCAACCTTTTCCAGACCTTCTGCCAGAAAGGGGGGCTGCTATGCACACTTCAGGGCAAGGTTTGACCACTTGCTGAGGTATAGGGCCTTTGGTGAGGGGTTTATCTAATCCTGTTCCCATCCCTACTCTGCCCTCTCACCATCCCTCCAAAGCTTCAGCTCCAGGATTGGACAACGCTGGATGGGCCATTGCAGGGCCTGCAGACACTGCTGCTGATGGTTCTGCGGCAGGCCTCTGGCCGCCCCCATGGCCCTCATGGCCTCTTTCTGCGGTACCGGGTAGAGGCCCTGACCCTTCGGGGCATCAATAGCTTCCGGCAGTACAAGTATGACTTGGTGGCTGTTGGCAAGTAAGTAGCCTCTGATTCCCTCTTTGCGTTCTCAGGGAAGTGTCCAACTGGTACACGGAGGGAGTGACTGACTTTGTCCTGCTATGCACCTGACAGGGCTCTGGAGGGCATGTTCCGAAAGCTCAACCACCTGCTGGAGCGCCTACACCAGTCATTCTTCTTCTACCTGCTTCCTGCTCTATCTCGCTTTGTCTCCATTGGTCTCTACATGCCTGCTGCTGGCTTCTTGCTCCTGGTCCTTGGTCTCAAGATATCCTCTGTCCCCCAACTATTCACTCATGGACAGCCTTGGAGCCCCTCAACTCTGCATCATCCTACTCTGGGATTGGGGTGGGAAAGTCCTGGGTTCCCCACCTGGCAGATCTCATCACACTGTCATTGAGGTCCTTGACTTGGGCCATGCTCTGGAGCTGTGGATGCAGTTGCATGAAGCTGGAGTGGGCTCTGAAGAGGCTGGGGGTGCTCCTGGACCGAGTACCCAACTTCCCCCAGCACAGGTGATGATGCCCCTATCTGCTGTTGGGTGGGCTTCTAGGATCCTGAGTAGTGTCTTCTACTGCCACTCAACCTCAGCTGGAATAGTGGTTTTCTGGCCCCAGGGCCTATCTCAAGGTGCCCGTATACTATACCCTGCAGGGTGTGGGGCTGGCCTCGCTTGTAGCACCCCTGCTGATCTCTCAGACCATGGGCCTGGCCCTCTACATCCTGCCTGTGTTGGGTCAACATGTGGCCGCCCAACACTTCCCAGTGGCTGAGGCTGAGGCTGTGGTGCTGACACTGCTGGCAATTTATGCAGCTGGCCTGGCTCTTCCTCACAACACCCACCGGTGAGTGACTAGGCTTGGGCAGGTGGCACAGGGCCCCCCTGGACATGTAGGCAGTTCTTGGGCTTCCTCTGAGCCTTTTGCCTTTTAGGGTAATGAGCACACAGGCCTCAGACAGGGGATGGATGGCACTGAAACTGGTGGCTCTGATCTACCTAGCACTACAGCTAGGTTGCATCACCCTCACCAACTTCTCCCTGGGTTTCCTGCTAGCTGCCACCATGGTACCTGCTGCTGCACTCACCAGACCCTATGGGCCTCGGTATGTATTCATCAGCCCCCACCTCCCCCAGTGCCTGTGCCCTTCACCCAGAGTCCTTGGTCATTCTGTTCTCTGTCCCCACCATCTGTGGAACATACCCCGACGATGCCTCTCCACCCAGGCCACTCTATGCTGCCCTACTGGTGCTGACAAGCCCAGCAGCCATGCTCCTGGGCAGCCTGTTCCTGTGGCGGGAGCTACAGGAGACACCGCTGTCACTTGCTGAGGGGTGGCAGCTTTTCCTCGTGGCACTGGCCCAGGGCGTGCTGGAGCACCACACCTATGGTGCCTTGCTCTTCCCACTGCTCTCCTTGGGCCTGTACCCTTGTTGGCTGCTCTTCTGGAATGTGCTCTTCTGGAAGTGAGGTCTGCTACCTGGGCACAAAGGCTGGGGCAGGGCTCTCCAAGCCCTCACCATTTTTCCTCCTCCCTGGGAAATAAACAAGTGTCTGTTTCAGCTGTTGTTTGGGCTTCTGGCCCATTGGCCTTGTGGGGAATCCATTCTCACACACCTCGGCGCCGGGAAGATACGTCCAGCCCATTGTGCTCTATGAATCAACAGTCACTGCAGGGCCAGGAACAAAGCTGGGATGAGGAAATTCTTGGGAGCCTGATGGGAGCAGGAGCACCCAGAGACCACACCTTGCCATCTTCAATGCTGGGGCTAAGTGGGCAAAGGGGTTGGAGTCCTACAGAGGAGGCTCAGGGTTCAGGCCATGTGCCCAACCAAGGCCAGAGCATGTGGGCTTTATATGAACACTGTTGAAGCAACCTAAGTAAGGTGCCTACCAGGAGCAGGGCAGCAGCATAGTTTGGCAGAAACAATCTTTGAAGCCCAGCCAGTACCCAGGAGCAAGAGGCTATGGGGGATGGGGCCCCAAAGTGGGAAGGCCCTGACAGGTAGCACAGAGAAGCAGATTATTGTACTAAGACCCTAAAAGGAACTTCAGTCCATCCTGGAGGAAAAGAGTGTGGCCCTTTGGTGAACTCGGGGCCATGTGGTGCTGAGGCTGGAGAAATGTCAGGGAAAGACAAAAGTACTTGACCAGACACAGCCACATGCAGGCATCTTTAGAAAGTGGGCATGGCTACCTTGCCTAGAGAAGTGGAAGGATCCATCTAGTCAGCTCAGGGCCAACCACCCCTCAGTTTCATGTCCCTGAGCAGCATGTGATCTGGAAGATCTTGAGGGGAGTACCCTGCCTGTACCCCACCCTCAGGGCTCCTCTTCCTCTGTGGTAGGACCTAGACTTCCCTTGGGAGGCTTCTCTACCCTGGGGCTTGTTGTCTCAGCTCCACAAGTGGGAATCAGACCCTGAAGAGTTTCTCTCTGAGTCCTCCAGAGGAAGCTGCTGATCCCCTTGTTGGGTACGTGTCTATACCCTGTGTGCAATGAGGAGTGGGGGAACCTCACTGTGACGGGTGGCCTCGTCACTGACTTGCGTCTTTGGCCCCTTGTTTCCAAGGCCAGAATCTCCAAAGGACTAAGGCCAGGTAGAGACCTGTGGCCTCCAACCCAATCCTCTCATTTTCCTAGGAGTACCTCCCAGGGAAGCATCCTAGGCTCTCCTCTGCTACAGGGAGATTCAGTCCTTTATGTATCTTTGTGAGCAGTTGTGTGATAGAAAATTCCCTTCCTGGTGTTTTAACAGGTCTTTGGCCTCAGTTGTTATTAACTGGGCAATGGCAGTCTCTTAAAGCATAAATGGAAATTGAACCATGACACATATAGGTGGGAAGAAAACTGAAAGATCAACCTACTTGTGCTGTGGATACATCCCAGCAGAATCATGAATTATTCCTCTATTGAGAGGGAACTCTAGAATGTACTAAAAAACAAAAAGGAAAAGAAAAGGCTGGTGCTGCTTCCTCTTCAAAACCAGTCTGGGTGTGTGGTGCACACCTGTAATGCCAGCTAACAGTTACTAGGAGAGCAGAGCAGGAGATTCAGCAATGTGGGCCAGTCTGGATAACAAGAAAGTGCTGGCCGCGGCCTAGAGCTCAGTGGCAGAGCGCTCGCCTCACACGCGGTGTGAGGCACTGGGTTGGATCCTGAGCACCACATAAAAATAAGTAAAGATACTGTGTCCTAAAACTAAAAGAAGGGGGTTGTGGCTCAGCGGTAGAATGCTTGCCTCGCACGCACGAGACCCTGGGTTCGATCCTCAGCACCACATAAAAATAAGTGAAATAAAGGCATTGTGTCCAACTATAAGTAAAAAATGAAAAATATTTTTTAAAAATTAGGAAAAAAAGTGCTAAGGATGTAGCTCAGTTGTAGAAATACTTGCTTATAGCACAAGGCCCTAGATTCAGTTCCTAGTGCCACACACACACACACAAATCTGTAGTGGAAATATAAAATGGGAGTGAAGTCTTAAATGTGTCTTTTGGGGCTGTCACAGTACTTGTATCTCTGGTATTTCTTTTTGGCCCTCCTGATTGAAGATAGTCCCAGATCTTCAGCTAGGCATCACTGGGTTATGCTATGGATGATTAGATTCCCCTGCCCCACCCCCAAGTACTAGAGCTTGAAGCCAGGGTTGTTTTGTGTTGCTTGCAGTACTGGAAATTCAACTTGGGGCTTCACTCATGCTAGGCAAGTACTGGACCACTGAGCTACACCCCAGCTCCATATATATAAGTAATATAGATAGTTTTGTTTTTTCCTTTTTTACTGGGGATTAAACCTAGAGCCTTGCACATGCTAGACAGGTGTTCTTTCACTGGGCTACATACCCAGACCTCCAGTGGCACTTCTGAGCTACATCCTCAGCCCTTTATTTTTTATTTTGAGACAGGGTCTTGTTAAGTTTCCCAGGCTGTCCTTGAATTTACGATTCTGCCTCATTCACCTGAGACACTGGATCACAGATGTGCACCACCTGTGATTTATAAAGATGTGTGAGGATTCATGATTGCCAGCTGAGTGGCTTTAGAAGTGACCAGGCATGGGCCTGTGATCTCAGCAACTCTGATTGATGCAGCACGATCACAGATTTGAGGCCAGTCTAGGCAACTTAGGGAGATCCTATCTCAAAAAAGCACTGGGATGTAGCTCAGTACTCCTGTTTTCAATCCCCCAGTACTGGGGTGGGGGTGGGGAGGTACTGAAGGGGCAAAGGTGATTGAGGGTATAATTCACTAGTAGAGTGCTTGCCTGACATGCAGGACACTGTGGGTTCCATTCCCAAAATCACAAAAACAGAAAGGGTAGCCTGGAATGAGTTCCCTAGGGTCAGACAAGTATAATTACTGTCCCCATTTTGCAAGTGGATATCAAAGAGGTTAAACAACTTGGTCAAAGGCTTACAGCAGAATGTCATTTTAGTCTTGTTACACACATCTTGGATGCATGATAATTGGGTTTTTAGTGAAAGTTTAAGAAGGTATCAGTTGAGTACTGTCTTGAAATTGATGAGATGGAAATTTAGTTTAAGTCTAGAGTACACTATAAGTACACTCCTTTAGCCACATGTGTGTGTGTGTGTGTGTGTGTGTGTGTGTATGAGTATGCAGAAGCACTGGAGATCGAACCAGGGTCCTGTGTTCATTAGCCAAATGCTCTATCACTGATCTAATCTCTGGTCCATCTTTGCCTTTCATTTGTTTGTTTTGGGTACCAGGGATTGAACCCAGGGGTGCTTAGACACTGAGCCACATCTCCAGCTCTTGTGTGTGTGTGTGTGTGTGTGTGTGTGTTGCTAGGGATTAAGCCCAGGGCCTTGTGCATGCAAGGCAAGCACTTTACCAAGTGATATATATCCCCAGCCCCCTTTTTATAGTTTATTTACACACAGGGTCTTGCTGAGTTGCTTAGGGCCTCCCTAAATTGCTGAGGCTAGCTTTGAACCTAGGAGCTTCCTCTCTGAGCCTCCTCCTGAGCTGCTGGAATTGTAGGCGTGTGCCACCTTGCCTGTTGAGAGCCATAGCCAAGTTGGGATGGCGCCTAGCATTTTGCCAGTACTTTTGAGCTCTCGCGGGGATTCCTGAAGAGTTCCCGTTGGTTGGTGAAGTTCCGGTGGTGGGAGTTCCGGTTGGTGGTGTGTTCCTGGAGGAGTGGCGTGGGTGGCGTGTGTGGAGTGTGCTGGTGGAGTTCAGAAATAAAGTTTGTTCCTGCTTGAGTGGCTCGTGATTTGTGCCCAGCCAGACTGCGGCACATGCCCTACTCTAACAATTTATGATGTGTCTAGGTATGGATCTCTTTTAGTTTATACCACCTGGAGCTTGATCTTCCTGCCTGTGTAGATTCATGTTCTTCATGAAGTTTGGCAAGTTTTAGGATATTATTTATGTATTGTTTCTTCCCCTTTCTCTTCTCTGACTCTGGAACTATCATTTATATGTTGGTACACTTAATGTTGAGCTGCAGATCTTTGAGACTCTGTTCATTTGTCTTGTTCATTTTTGTGTGTATGTTTGTGGTGGGGGAGGTACTGAGGATTGAACCCTGGACCTGAAGCATGCTCGGCAAGTACTCTACCACTGAATTAATCCCTGCCCTTTTTATTTTATTTATTTATTTTTGGTTGCTGGGGATTGAACCCAAGGTTGTTCACCACTGAGATACATCTTTTTTTTTTGTTTGTTTTAGAGACAGGGTCTTGATAAATCGCCCTTGAACTTATGATCCTCCTGCCTCTCTCTCCCGAGTTGCTGGCATTATAGGCATGCACGACCAAGCCTGACTTAATAAATTTTTTGAGACAGGGTCTTACTGAGTTTCCCAGGCTGGTCTCAAACTTTTAATTCTTCTACGTAAGCCTCCTGAGTAGCTGGAATTACAGGTGTGGGCCACTTCATCTGGCTTATTAGTCCTTTTATTTCTTTTTCTCACACTAGACAATCTCAATTTAACTAACTTCAATTTACCTTTATTCCACCTGCTTAAATCTGCTGTCAAGACCCTGAAATAAAATTTTAATTTCCATATTGTACTTTTCAACTCCAGTTTCTGACTCCCTTAGGTAATTCTGCCTCTTTATTTGACACTCACTCTTTAAAAAAAAATTTTTTTTGTTGTTGTTTTAGTTGTAGTTGGACACAATACCTTTATTTTACTTTTATATGGTGCTGAGGATTGAACCCAGGGCCTTGCCTGTGTCGGGCGAATGCTCTACTGCTAAGCCACAACTCCAGCCCCAACACTCCCTCTTATTTTTTTTTAATATTTTTTAGTTGTCAATGTACCTTTATTTATTTATATGCGGTGCTGAGAATTGAGCACAGTGCCTCACGCATGCTAGGCAAGCGCTCTACCACTAAGCCACAACCCAGCCCAAACACTGAATATTTTAAATAACATTGTTTTGTCTGACCAAATCCATCACTGGAATAATTTTAAAAGAGGCAACAGGGAACCACGTTTGGTGGCCCACTCCTATAATCCCAATTTGTGAGGCTGAGACAGGAGGATCTCAAGTTTGAGGCCTTAGCAACTTAGTGAAGCCCTTAATAACTTAGACTCTGTTTCAAAATAAAAAATAAACATGTAACTCAGTGGTAAAGGGCCCCTGGTTTCAATCCCCAGTACAAAAAAAGGGCAGTAGGGGAGTTCCTGCAACACAGTGCAAAAACACTTTCATAGTTTTCCAAAGAAAAAACCCAAATGTCAGCAGTTCACAGCATTTATTAGGGGAACTTATGCACAGAAGGGGCTTGTGATAGATAGCAAGATGAAGGGTGTTCTACCCATGTGTATTCTCAATGAGGGAGTCTAACAGGGGGTTTTTTTTTGGTACCAGGGATTGAACTCAGGGACACTCCACCCCTGAGCCACATCCGCAGCCCTCTCATATTTTATTTAGAGACAGCGTCTCACTGAGTTGCTTAGCACCTGGCTTTTGCTGAGGCTGGTTTGAACTCATGATCCTTCTGCCTTAGCCTCCTGAGCCACTGGGATTACAGGCATGTGCCACCGTGCCCAGCCTAACAGCGTTTTATATGAGAGCTGAATGGATTTTGCTCAGGATTTCAGCTAATTTTTGTGAGTTTAGCAACAGCATCAATCTCCCAGTGTTTTGGAGCAACAATTTAAACACCTTTACCATCACCTGGGAATACTCAAGGCCCTGACTTGGGTTCAGGCCTGCAGGGAAAATATGATGTCAGAGCATCAAGGTGCTCTGTATTTCTCAGCTAGGACCCAGAAAGCCAGGTGGAAGGAGGACTGTGTAAACATAATATGGGGATTCTAGAGATCAGATTTCATTCCTCTCTCTAGGTTTTGTTACTGCTGCTGTGGTAGCTGTGTTTATTTTTTTAATAATATTTTTTTAGTTATATATGGACACAATATCTTTATTTTGTTTATTTATTTTTATGTGATGCTGAGGATAGAACCCAGAGCCTCACATGTGCAAGGCAAGCGCTCTACTACTGAACCACAACCCCAGCCTAGTAGCTGTGTTTATTTAGTGATCTTTCTGAACTAATTCTCTCAAGCCTGAGTTGTCATGTGTGACTACTAAAGTCTCTCCTTAGTGTTCATCTAATCATTGGACAGAGAGTTCCTTAAACACCTGGAAACAATGAATTTCCCTTTCCTTCCTAAGTGGCTTTGTGATATAGCATGACTCCAGCACTCAGCAGACAGCATGCTACTCTGCCTGAGCATTTACTTTCCTCTACAAGGAGCCCCAATGTCAGCCACATGTGAGATCTCAAGGCTTTTCAGGTTTTTCCTCAGACCCCAGTCCTATTTATGTGACCTATATTCCTGGAAGTATGTTGGATTTTCTAAGCCCCTGTGAACATATCTGTACCCTTGCTTTTTCCTGTTAAGTTTTTTGTTTAATCTATAATCTATTGTGAACTCCAGCTGTTATCCATCACCTTGGGTAATTGCAAAGTTACATTTGTCCACTAACAACCCCAGGAAGCTGTTTGTGCTGGGTTGGTGCTCAGTCAGCCTTGTAAGTGGGGCCTTCCAGAAATCCATCAGACAAGTAAAATAATGACAGTTGTCTGAGAATGGGGCATTCTGTTCCCTCCAGTAACAGGGATGTGAGGTCTTAGTTCCAACGTTGCCACTGTGAGCACAGCTGGACCAGGAAAACTACCAAGGTAACTTTTTGCTGCTGGTCACCTATTTTCTTGAATACACACTCTCTGGGATGCTGGGGGTAGGGGAGCCTTTGGTTAATTTCTAGAATTCTGAAAAAGCTGATTCAGACAGCTTATGCTAGTTTTTTGCCTTGCTTTTATACGGGGAGAAGGACAACTTCAGTTGACGATTGTTTCCCGAGGGACCCTTGGTTGTTCTGCTGGTAACTCCTGCACTTGTTCGGCCACAGTAGCAGAACAAGTACAGGAGCAGCCAAGTGCGCGCGCGTGGGCGTTGACCCCAGGCCTCTGCCTCGCGCTGCGCCCGCCGCTTCCAGGCGGGGGCCAGCCTGAGGCCCGCGCTGAGCTGCCTTGGCAAGCTCGGTCCTGTCTCCGTAGGTTTGTCCAGCACAGCGGGAAAGGCAGGGTCCCCACCGCCGTCGTGCGCGACGGGAGTACTCTTAAGCCCGCCGGCGTCTCCTGGTCCACAAGCTATGGCCGCGGAAGGGGGCGGGGTCCCAGTGGAAATCCGGCGTGGTGTTGACAACGGGAGACCCCGGGGTCCGCCCAACCCCCGGTTTCCACGGCAACCAGAGGACCGCCAGGAGGTGGAGCCCAGCCCCTGACGGACAGCTCTTGGCCCCGCCCCGGCCTCGCTCTCGCGCGGTTTGAGCTCGCGTGGCGCCGCAGGGGCCGACGGGAGCGTCAGCCGCGCTGAAGGGGGCCGACATGGCGGCGGCGGCGGCGGCTTCGCTTCGCGGGGCGGTGATGGGCCCTCGGGGCGCGGGCCTCCCGGGCGCACCTGCCCGGAGGCTGCTGGGCGGCGCACGGCCTGGGCAGCTCCCCCTGCGGACGCCTCAGGTGAGCGCTGGCCCGGGTCCTGGCCCTCGCGCGCCCCGCAGCCGGTGAAGGTCACGGCGGGGAGGCTTCGGGCGCGCGCGGCCAGCAGGGCGAGATGGGCCCGCACGCAACGTCCCCCTGGGGCCAGGTCCTTGCTGCCGGTCGGCACAGCCCGGGAGCTTTGCGCACGCTTCGGAGCGGCAGGGCGCCTCGGACCTGGCACGGGGGTGGCGGGCGGGCTCGCGAGGGTCGGGGCAGGGGTCTTCGTGCTCAGGGCGTACCTGGAACGGCTCCCGCCGCACGCTGTCCAGACTGGGCCCGCGTCCTGAAGTAACCTCTAGCCTGACCTCGGCAGCTGCCGGTGACCTTGGTCACTACGGCCTGACCCCCGGCTCAGGATCCAAGAGCACTCCTCACCACCTCCTCAGAGTCAAATCCCGGCCCAGGGGTCGGCAGCGGAGAGGGATGCGGTGGGCAGCGCGCAGGCCATGATGCTGGTGCGCCAGTACTGGGTGGATGAGTGGGAGAGGTGGGCGCCTAGTCAGATCCCCAGCCCGGCGGGTGGTGTCCTGGCAGGCGCTGAGCGGGGCTCTTGCAGGCAGTATCCTTGTCCTCGAAGTCTGGCCTTTCCCGCGGGCGGAAGGTGATGCTGTCAGCGCTGGGCATGCTGGCGGCGGGTAGTGCAGGGCTGGCAGTGGCTCTGCATTCTGCTGTGAATGCCAGTGACCTGGAGCTGCACCCCCCCAGCTATCCGTGGTCTCACCGTGGCCTCCTCTCTTCCTTGGACCACACCAGGTGCGCAGCTGGCCGGCTTGCTGGCCTGGGGTTTCTGGGTGGAGTGGAATCTTCAGTTCCCTTAAAACTTTCTCTCTTTTTAGCATCCGGAGGGGTTTCCAGGTATATAAGCAGGTGTGCTCTTCCTGCCACAGCATGGACTACGTGGCTTACCGCCACCTGGTGGGCGTGTGCTACACTGAGGATGAAGCTAAGGCCCTAGCTGAAGAGGTGTGGAACCCTGGAGACAGAGTGTTCGGGGTTGGGGCTCCCACTGTGATGTGATGGCAGGATTGTAATGAGGCTCTTGGTGGCAGGTGGAGGTCCAGGATGGCCCCAATGAGGATGGAGAGATGTTCATGCGGCCAGGGAAGCTGTCTGACTACTTCCCCAAACCGTACTCCAACCCTGAGGCTGCCAGGGCTGCCAATAATGGAGCCTTGCCCCCTGACCTCAGTTATATAGTTCGAGCTAGGTAAAGGGGCTGCCCACAGGGTGGAACTGGAGAGGGGAACTGACTTCTGTCAGGGACTAAGAAGCCGTGAATCTGGTTCCAGGCATGGTGGTGAGGACTATGTCTTCTCCTTGCTCACGGGGTACTGTGAGCCACCCACTGGCGTGTCTCTACGAGAAGGCCTCTATTTCAACCCCTACTTCCCTGGCCAGGCCATCGGCATGGCCCCTCCCATCTACACCGATGTCTTGGAGTTTGATGATGGTGAGAGTCCTTCACCATGAATCCTTTCCCATCCCCCAGGGATGCTTGCCTTATATTTCTGGGCCTGAGAGATCCTGCCCCTTTCTTGGCTGGGGTGTTTTGTGCATGCATGAGGAGATTTTCACAGTCTTGTGGGGTCCTGTCCCTTTGAAACCTTGGGTAGAGGTCAGTCTCTACCTCCATGGAACAGAGTGCACTGAGGGTTACCCCAGGTTGGTCATGAGCCCCAAAAGGTAATTTTCATTATGTGTCCTTGGCCCAGGTACTCCAGCTACCATGTCCCAGGTAGCTAAGGATGTGTGTACTTTCCTGCGCTGGGCGTCTGAGCCAGAACATGACCATCGCAAACGCATGGGACTCAAGGTGAAGGATTGGGCAAGGGAGCTACAGTGAGTATGGGAGAACAGTTGGGAAGGATCCTTCCTAGCCCCCTTTTCTGAGCCTGTTTTGTCCCCAGATGTTGATGATGATGGGCTTGCTGCTGCCTTTGATCTACGCCATGAAGCGGCATAAGTGGTCAGTCCTGAAGAGTCGAAAGCTGGCATATAGGCCACCCAAGTGACCCTTTCCAGCATCTACTTGCCATCTTGCCTGAACAGACCCTCAAGCCCAGGAGCCATCCTAGGCCTGTTCAGGCCTTACCTGGCCCACTCGGCCCGGCCCCTCTTCGTCTGGGATGAGGGAGGGGGCAGGAGACTGGGCCTTGGCTCCAGATTTCATTTAGCCTCATCATGGGAATAAATTAAGTTTCTCAACATACACATTTGAACTTTTATCTGACAAGAGTGTAGTCTTGCAAAGGACTCTGGGACTAAGACTCATACCCTCAGCGCTCCCAGGAAGTCCCAGTCCTGTCCTCATCTGGGACAGAAAGGGTACTGGCTGTGAGAGGAAGTAGTGGCACTTAGTAGGTTGTCTCCTGAACAGGGATGAAAAAGATTTGGCCAGGTTGGCTATGGCCCAGAATCTCACAGACCTGCTGGGAGGAACTACTGAGTGTCAGGTTGTTGGTTACTTCAAGAGGGTCAGGGAGCCTTTGGCAAGGCCTGGAGTGGCTAGGCCAAGAAGAGGGGGATGACTGCCAGCCATATTGGTAAATCAGTAGACAGGCAGAAGAGGGTACCTGGGACATCCCCTTGCTCTCAGCTGGAACGCTGAGTGTAGCACCCAGGATTTATGTGGAGGTATGAAGGTATTCATCATGGAATGGCACCTGGCAGCCCACAGGAGAGCCGAGTGGGCTCATGTAGTCCTGTACCTGTACCTGTGGCAGGAAGGTCAAGGCATTATGAACCAGCAGTAGCACAATACCCTGACTTGGGACTCCCAGTGCTTGAGCTTCCCTGTCCCTAAGTGGGGAGGGAAAACACCCATGTTGGTGTTATCTTGGCTGGAGGGAGTGGTGTCCAGAGTCTGGGGAGCCAGGATAAACAGCAGAAGGCAAGACCAGCAGTAGGGGTAGAGCTTATAGGATTCGCCTTAGTGCACGGAGCCCCCAGCGACCCTATCCCAGTGATCAGCAGCTAGGAGAACCCCTGAAGGTCTGGGGGGCTTGGGAAGAGGTCTGAGTGCCAAGATCCTGTGATCAGCAGATACCTGGACTGACGAATGAGGGCCAGGTTCTGTCTTGTCTTCTCCCAGCAGCCTTGGATAGGCTGGGGCAGCTCTGCACCACGACACAGTAAAGGGACACTGGGACTTTGATTTTTTTAGTTGTAGTTGGACACAATACCTTTATTTTATTTATTTATTTATTTTTATGTTGTGCTGAGGATCAAACCCAGGGCCTCCATGCTAGGTAAGCGTTCTACTGCTGAGCCACAACCCCAGCCCCTTTTGTGTCTAACTTATAGCTCTTCCCTGCAACCCTCTTGTCTGTCCCCAATGAGCAGCCAGCAGAGGTCTCCTGAGATCAGGTGATAGTCCAGGCATTTAGGCCTTCCAGGGAAGGGCCATGTTCTGTAACCAGGGGGGAAGAGACAGATCATTCCTGCTTGTTCTATACTGTGTGCACCCCCCTCCTCCAGCCACCCCACCACCTGTACCTTTGGTGGCTACTGGGTAGACGATGTAGGAAGGGGGTCCCAGGTGCAGGGCCTCTGGGTGCTACACATCTCACAGCCAGGGCGATTTGGGGCATTGATGAAGGTACAGGAAGGACAGGACCAGCCAGGCTAGAGAGGTGGAAGACCGTTGCTGTTTCTTCACTTCTAGTGTGCCTAGCCAACCCCTGCCCACTGCCCACTCATGCCCATTGCCCACCTGAAGGGGGCCGGGGAGGCTGGAACTGGCTGGCTGCAGGGCACGGGACAGCCCCAATGACTGAGGAAAGAACCGTCCTAGTTCCCCTTCCATCTTCTGCAAGCGTTGAGGGCTGCATCCTGTGGCAGAGGACAGGGGCTTAGGACTATCTTGGGCTGCACCCCACCTCCCTCACCTACCCCCATCAAGGACCAACCTGGGGCTTCTTGGGGAGTGGAGAGCAGATAGAGGAAAGCAGGGTCCCCATCTTGCTGGACCCCATAGGAAGCAAGGCTGCGCTCAGGGGCACACAGCCACCTCCCAATGACCCAGCGTTGCACAGCAGGTGGGAAACCGAACTCTGAGAACACCTAGGGTCAGAGCATCAGGGCTGGGGAGTGTCACCCGGGATTACCCACCACCACTACAGGGCTCTCTGGACCCCATGCTCACCTGTTCCTGGAGAGCTGAGATGGTACAGTGAGCGTGGACCTGCAGTGAGATGTGGGCAGAGGATGCCGAGGATGCAGCGGATGTGGCATCTTCAACTGTGACCTGCAGCCTGGGTCAGAATGTGGGTCAGAGGTTGTTTGGGGAACCTGAGAAGATCAGCAGGGCAAGATGAGGATCAGGCCTCACCTGATGGGACCAGGCGGGAAGCAGGCCTCCTGAAGCTGGACACTGAGGGCCACGTGACGCTGGGCCAGGATTGCTGCTATTTGGGCTGCTCCCTTCTCGTCCCCACCTGCAATGGCCTGGGCCAGGAGCCCAGTCAGCTCTTCTAAAGGGAGGACAGCTGTCAAAATCACACCAGCCACTTCCTTCAGACCCCTCTGGCTATCTGTCCTTACCTTTCTCCATCAAGTCTCCAGGGCTCTGAAGATCCACCTCAGGTTGGGGCACTTTGAGTGTTGGGACCACAGGGGGACTGGGTGAGGAAACAGGACATGTTTCTGGGCCCAGGGCTAGGAGTGGGCTGCCACTGCCTAGGAGGGAAAATGTGGAGTGGTTGTTGGCCCCTGCCCAAGCCTCTCTGCCCTGGGGTTTCCAGGACCTTTGTCTTTTTCCTCATCACAGCCCATGTCAGGCCCTACCTCAGCTTACACTTCAAAATAACCCTCCCCCTCCTAGCTTGCCCTTAAAAACCCCTGAGAGGTCCCTGCACTCCCCCCCCCCCCCACACCACCTGACTTGTTGGAACTGCCCTGGATTCCTGTTGGGGACCTGGAGTCTTTCTGAACTCTTCTGTTGCCTGTCCTGCTGGTGCCCTTCCTCCACACAGCAGAACCACAGCAGGTCCTCAGACAGAGGGGCCTTCCCCCTCCTGCCCAACAGTAGCCTTGTAGTCTACTACAAGGTGATTGCCCTCACTGATCTCCCTTCTCCTGGCTAGCCCTTATGCACAGAACACACTGTCCTTTCAAGGATGACGGTAAAGATACACAGTTGGACATAACTGCTCTCTCCCTTCTTACCTCCCACTTGAGGATAGCTCCCTGCAATGAGTGGGGGGGGGGGGGTTCTCAGCCAGTGCTGACACAGCTTCTTTGATGGCCTCAGGCCCTTGACTTCTTGAACTGTTTATCCCACTAAAATAAGTAGAGTCCTCCAAGCACCCAGCCCTGTGCCTGTGTCTTGAGGGTTGCTTGCATATGTTCCCCTCAGGGCTTTTGTATTTGCTGCTCCTAAGACCACAAGGCTCATGCTAGGACCTTCAAATACTTTTTTTTTTTTTTCCATTCAAAAAATGTTTATTGTGCATCTAATAATATATATGAGGTACTGGGAATTCAGAGGTGGACAAGATATTCTCAGGCATTTCTGTATAGAACATATATTGTAAAGAAAGAGATAGTATTAAATAGATGATCATACAAATAACTACAATCTCTAGAGCTGGGTATATAGTAACTGTATAAATTAATGTTGATTAATTAATTAATGAACACAGTCCAACCCACTTCTTAGATACTGACTGATCTTCAAATTCTACTCAAGTGTCACCCTTTCAAGGGGCCTTCCTTGCCACCTCTATTTACTCCAGTCCTTTCATTTATTTTGAAATAGGGTCCCACTATTTCAAAATAAATGAAATACTGCTTAGGCTGGCCTTGAACTTGTCATCCTCCTTTATCAGCCTCCCACATCACTGGGATTATTCTGCACCTGGTCCTGTCACCCTACTTTAAATAATGTTCCCTCCCTCCTAGCTCCAGCACCGACTCTCTCCATGTCTAATAAGAATTTTCTTACTTCACATGTCTCCCATGTAGAAATGCAGCCTCCAAGAGGGTGGAGGTTTATTCATGTTAAATAAGTGCCCAGTACAGAGCAGGCACTGGGTACACATACTAATGAATGAAAAGTGCTGTCTCCCTTTTCCAAAGCTGACTTGCCAGGGCCTCTTATGAATAACACTGTCTGGTTGTCTTCCTCTATACTATTTGTGGCTTCTCTTTTCTTTCCCTAAGGCAATCTCTGCATGCCAGCCCTCTTCTCTTTAAGGTTCTTTATTAGTGACTTGGTTGACCTATCTAGAGCCCCAGCTTCAGCCAAGATGTTTTAAGAACCCAGAACATCCGGGCTGGGGCTGTAGCTAAGTGGTAGAACACTTGCCCTGCAAGTGTGAGATCCTGGGTTTTATCCTCAGCAACGCATAAAAATAAATAAATAAATATATTGTGTCCATCTACAACTAAAAAATAATAATAAGAAAGAACCCAGAACATCCATGCCCTCTTAAACAGGCCCTGTCTAGGAGCCCTGCACTACCTGGCCCCTGGTTTCAGCTTTTTTTTTTTTTTTTTTTCTTTTAGTTGTACATGGACAGCATGCCTTTGTTTCTTTATTTTTTAACTTAATCTTTACATGTAGGTGGACACAATGTCTTTATTTTACTTTATGTGGTGCTGAGGATGGAATCCAGTGCCTCACGCATGCCAGACAAGTGTCTACCTCTGAGCCACAACCCCAGACCCTATTTGTTTCATTTTTATGTGGTGCTAAGGACCCAACCCAGTGTCTCACACACGCTAGGCAAGCACTCTGCCTCTGAGCTATAGCCCCAGCCCCCAGGTTTCAGTCTTGAACTGTTTTATTTAAATGACCATGAAACTTAGCTAATTCCATCTCCTAAAACTCTCTGGAATCATCCTCTCCTGCCCTTTGCACAAACCCGTCCTACTGCAGAAGTCTCAATCTGAGCCTGTCACTCTGCTAAGTACCACTATTGCTCTTGAACTCACTAGGGTCCTGCAGTCCTACTTGCTCTTCTTTCCACCCTAGTCTATCCAGGCTCCAGCTCTTCAGCCTTTTCTTTCTTTCACTTTCTTCCTCCTGAGCGCCTTTCGAGGCCCCTAGCTTTTCCCATCACTGTCCCCACCCAGTCCTGGGGGGACAGAGCTACTCCATACTTAATTCCAGGGCACTGACCATTCTGTCCCTCTGCGGTGGCACCTCGCAGCAAGGCTGCCCACTGCTGAGCTTCCTGAGTGTTGAGGAAGCGCAGACTGAGAGTTCCGGGCCCTCCTGGTGGAGGCTGCAACTCATGTTGACTGGGGCCGCGGATGGTATAGGAGATTGACTCCAAGGGCCACTCCAGACTGACCTGTGGAGTAGGAGAGTCCAGGATCAGTGGTTTCCCACTTTGAACCACATGCTAATCAAAGAAAGACAAGAAAACATTTGTAGATCACTAGATCACTTACGCGGTCCTAAACCCTTTCCACCTATTATCTTACCAAATCTTCACAACAGTTTGTAAGGTAGGAACCAGCACCATCCCCATTTTACAGACCAGAAGGCAACCAAAGAAAAGTAACGGCTTAAGGGCACGCTGTGGGCTAGCGGAGGCGCCCGGTCTTGGGCTCCAGCCCCGGTCCGCACTCACCGCTCCGGGCCCCGCGCCTCGCAGCTCCAGTCGGAAACGCCCGGGTCTTTCGGGATCCGCGCTCAGCTGCAGCCTCCGCAGCTGCGCCTCTGCGTTGGGCCCGGCGCCCAGCGGTCTCACCGCGGCGTGCACAGCCAGGAGCACTGCGGCTGAGCCCGGGTCTGCGGCCGCCGCCCCGCCCGCCGGCGGCGCCATCTCCGGTCCCGGCGGGTCAAGGTCTTCCGAGCCGACTTCCGTGAGATCGCGCTGCGGAGCGCCTCCGCCGGCCAGAAACTCAAATCGTGAGCCTGGGTTCCGGGGGCGGCAGATCGTCAGGGCCCAGGAGGGATGCAGGGCAGCGCTGCTGCGGAGCCTGATCGGCCTGCCGTGCCGAGGGATGGACACGGCCCGAGGGCCTCCGGACACCTCCGGCCGCGGGCGTCACGTTTGAGCCGGGTCTCGGGGCCAAAGTGTCAGGCTTTTGAAGCGCGGCCTGGGGCGGGCTTTTGGCCTCAAAAGCTCGGGTGAGGGTAGGCTACAGCCTGGCCCGAAACGTTCTTCAGAGACAGGATGGAGAAGGGAGGCAAGTCCGCGGCACTTCCCAGTAGCCCGGGTCAGCGGACCACCGCCCAGAGTAACCTCAGCCCCGCCACGCCCACACTGCGCGCTCCGCGGGCCCGCGCCGCTCAAGGAACCAGGGCGGACCCCTGGGGCGGGGCAGGCGGGCTCCTGACCAATGAGCGCCGGGGAGGAGGTGGGTTAGTACGAGGGACGGTGACAGACAGGCCCCACGGCCAGCAGGAGTGGAAATCAGGACTGAGCGGCAGGGACCGCCCCCAATGGCTAGTTGCGCTCCCGATCTCCGAAGCTGGAGCGGGCCACTCAGAGGCGTGGGGCCGGGCCTGGCGGACGCTTGTTGTTGTCCGGAGGCGGAGGTCGCAGGTTCTCTCGCTCGCTGGGTCGATCTGTGGCGGTCGACAGCAGGTCGGTCGCGAGAGCGGGCGCTGTGCAGGGGGGCGAGGCTATGTCGCGGTGGCAACCCGGATGGGCCGGCAGGGCCGGGAGTAACGGGACGTCGCCGCGGAGCTTCTCCCAGATACAGTGCGACCCGAGTGGAGGCCGCGGCGCCGCTTTCCGCCCCTGAGGAGGCCGCACCGCGCGGAGTCCGCCTTGCTTTCGCCCCGGTACCGACGCAAAGCGACCAGACCGGTCCGGCCCGATCTGCCAGGCCCATACAGGTGGGTGTCTGTCCTGTGCCCCGTGCCGTCCGGGGCCGCCGGAACCACAGCTCCCGGCGGGCCTGGCGCGGGCGCGCTGCCTCCTGGGACTTGTAGTTCCGCCACGGCTTGGCAGATGCCCCGCACCCGACGCGCTGCCTCCTGGGACTTGTAGTTCTGCCGCGGCCTGGCAGGTTCCCCCTCGCGCGACCAGGCGAACGATGCAGCTTGCTGGTTAGGCAGTAGCAACTCGCTCCGCTCCTTGTTACCGGAAGAGATCAGGCGTACTTGCAGAGCATAACGGTGGAGCCTATAGGTTTCCTCTCCTTGCCAAAAAGCAGACCCTAGAATAGGGGCAGAGCCCCAGGATGGAGGGGAGCCCAGCCCAGCCTGAAGACTACTACAGGAGTCATACCCCTTCGCAGGCTAAAGTGATCCTCGTATTCGTTGGGCACTCTTCCTCTGGATGGGAAAGGGAAGCCTTGAATACCGTATTCGTTTAGCCCCAGGGTGAGCAGGATGGGGTAGGTCCCCCAGCCTGGCCCTAGAAGCCTGTGTTATACAGGGGGGTGTGGCTGAGCTGGATCTTGGACTTGCTGCTTTGGTATGACAGGATCTCATCTCTCAGCCCGTCCTTAGTGTTTGGGAGCAGGTCAGAGGAGAGAGAAGGCCTGTGCAAACCCTGGGCAAAGGCTAGACCCAGTTGTGTACAGAGCTCTGGAGTAGGGGGACTGAAGGTAGAGCCCCATATGAGCAGATACCCATGACCTGGCTTCCCATATCCTTAGGCAGCACTAGCCCTTCTGGAGCAAGGAGTCTTTTCCCCAAGGACATGAAGCTGTTGGAGAACTCGAGCTTTGAGGCCATCAACTCACAACTGACAGTAGAGACTGGAGATGCCCACATCATTGGCAGGTGAGGCTGGAAGCTCTGGGGGCCAGCATCTCAGAGGTCACTGCCCTGGCCCCTGAGTTGAAACTTGAAGCGACAGAATGCTCCATGTTCCTGCCTGCATCCCATAGGATTGAGAGCTACTCGTGTAAGATGGCAGGAGATGACAAACACATGTTCAAGCAGTTTTGCCAGGAGGGTCAGCCCCATGTGCTGGAGGCACTATCCCCACCCCAGACTTCGGGCCTCAGCCCCAGCAGGTGAGCTGAGATAGGACCTGCCTCTTTGGGTCTGTGGGATGGCAGTCTAGGCTGATGTTTGTCTCTGTGCAGACTGAGCAAAAGCCAGGGTGGTGAAGATGAGGGTCCTCTCAGTGACAAGTGCAGTCGCAAGACCCTCTTCTATCTGATTGCCACACTCAATGAGTCCTTCAGGCCAGACTATGACTTCAGCACAGCCCGAAGCCACGAATTCAGCCGGGAGCCCAGCCTGAGCTGGGTGAGGACTGGGAGGGAGCCCCACCCACAGCCATTCCCACTGCCTTCCCACTGCCTTCCCCACATCAGCCTGGGCTCTGCCTTGTTTGGTCCTGGACCCTGCCCTGGACCCCTATCAGCCCCAGTGTGTCCTGCCCTAGGTGGTGAATGCAGTCAACTGCAGCCTGTTCTCAGCTGTGCGGGAAGACTTCAAGGCCCTCAAGCCGCAGCTGTGGGACGCAGTGGATGAGGAGATCTGTCTAGCTGAATGTGACATCTACAGGTGGGCCTGTATCTTCACAGGTAGACCCCTAGGTATATGTGACACGGAGAGTCTCATACTATGTCTTGGCCTACTCTGCAGCTATAACCCAGACCTAGACTCGGACCCCTTTGGGGAGGATGGCAGCCTCTGGTCTTTCAATTATTTCTTCTACAACAAGCGGCTCAAGCGAATTGTCTTCTTCAGCTGCCGCTCCATCAGGTTGGTGCTGCCAGTCTCCCTTCCTCCAGTTCCTATTGGGCCTCACCATCTCCTCAGGTTGCCCATCTGTTCTCAACTTTGTGCTGCCTGGACATCCTCCCTGGGCCATCAGCAGGCCTGGGGCAGATGGTCCTAAGATTGTTTCCCCACTTCCCACCCAGTGGTTCCACTTACACACCCTCAGAAGCAGGCAATGAGCTGGACATGGAACTGGGGGAGGAAGAAGTGGAGGAAGAGAGTGGAGGCGGAGGCAGTGAGGGCAGGGCTGAAGAGACCAGCACCATGGAGGAGGACAGGTATGTGATGGTGGTGGTGGTCCCAGTCCTTGGAGCCTCTAGTGCCTGGGCCAGGTCAGGGTCTCTTCTGCCTTGTCTCCTGAGTGGTGGCTCCTCAAACTCATTGTATGTCAACCTTTGCCCAGGGTCCCTGTGATCTGTATGTGATGAGGAGAAGCAGAGGCCCCAGCTTCATCCAGCTTCAACCAGTGCCTGGACCTACCCACCTGAGGGGCCCAGGGCCTCCCCAGCTGCTGGCCATACCCTGGCACTATCACTGTCCTGGCGCTGCCCAAGGCCAAATCTGCCTAGCCCTTTGGCTCCAGCCTGTGGATGTGCACTCATCCTCGAAGGCTCCTACTGCCCATGCTGTGACTGGACTAGACAGCACGGGGCCTGCTGGAAAGAGTGACTGCCCTGCCCAAGCAGACTGCCACAGCAGGGACAGCTGGACCACAGAGTTTATTTTTGTATTTCATACTGGGTCTGTACACTCCTGGCCTGAGACCCAGCAAGCAGGCTCCTGTCTTGAGCCAGTGGCCCCTGGTGCCTACCTGTTCCCCCCACCTCTCCAGGTGGGCTGTGTGCACTGAGTGTCACCTTGCTGCAGCTCATTTGTTTCCAATAAAAGTTTCTGTGACTCTGGACCTCAGTGCGTCGTGTGGGCGGGGCCTGCATTGTGGGCGGGGCCTGCCATTCATATCCTAGCAACCGATGCTGCCCGACCCGCCAGGAAAACGGTTAGTTTCCCAGAGCTGTTGGTCATCTGGACACACAGCTGTGAAAATGGAGGCTAACATGTTGGACACAAGCAAGCCCTTATCATCAGAAGGCGATAACTTGCTTCTGGACTCAGACCTGTATGATGCAGACGGCTTTGACAACCCAGACCCTGGGCTGCTGTCAGAAAAGAATGGTGAGGGGGATTGGCCTTACCCCCTAGGCACCCGGCCAGAAACAGAACTCATTTGGACTAGGTTCTGGGAACACAACTCCTCTGGGCAGTAACTGATTCAACCGGGCACTTGGAGAAGGGCACTCCAGGGTGGGGCCCAAGGCCACAGGTAACAGCACTCCCTCCATTGGCCCGCAGAGCTGTGTTCCCTGGAGCAGTCGCAGGGCCTGCAGCTTTTCACCAGCACCCAGCAGTGGCAAAACGTGCCCCTGTGTACCCGCGCCCACCAGCTGTGGCTGCTCATTCGTACTGGCCTCCATAATGTTGTGGAAAAGGTGTGATTTGGCCCAGCATCTGCCACTGGTCTCTTCCCAGTCCAGCCCTTCCCCTGGGGGTCCTCTGCACCAGCTCCATTGGATCCCTCGAGTTTCCCTCTGCAGAAGAGCCCAGCCCCCACCCCTAACTGCAGATCCTGCCCACCCTGGCCCGCAGGAAAAGAGAGCTGAGCTGCGCGTTGCTCGCTTGACACATGGGCTGGAGCCACTGCGCCGCCTGGAGGTGCCAGCTGGGCTGCGATCCGTGGCACAAGACCCAGTGGGAGGACATTTCGTGGTGCTGGATGGGGCAGGTTGCCTGCACCTGCATAAAAAGGATGGCTGGGCTCAGGAGACGCTGCTGGCCCCTGTGGCACTTACTGGTCTGGTAGCTGTGCTGGGCCCTCTGGGAGCGGTGGGTCGCTTTGTAGGCTGGGGCCCCACAGGGCTGGCCATACTAAGGCCAGACCTCAGCCTGCTGTGGTTGAGCCCGCCAGAGGTGGGTAGGGTGCTAGGCCGTGAGCCCACTTGCTGCCTGCCGGTGCCCAACCTGGGGCTGCTGCTTGTGGCTGAGGTGGGCGGCAGCCTGGCTCTCTTCAAGTTCCGCTCAGGTGGTCGCCGCCTGGTGCTGCGTGGCTTACCCCTGCAGCCACCACCAGGCCTGGCCGGCACACTCAAGCGTCTGGCTCTGGGGCCA